CTCATGTTATTATGCGTAGTATGATTGGTTGTTAATAGTTAATAAAGAATTTTTCGTATTTAGTAATAAGATATGTTAATATTTCGATGTTAATAGGACATCTATACTTTGAATTAATAAATACCATTTTTCTATTTACAGATATGGGAAACACCCTAAATTGTATAATGAATTATATGAATTATAATGAATGCGTTTTACATTTACTGGAGGGAATAAAATAAATTAAAAGAATAAACCATTTTTAACAGTAGAACTTCGTATTTGTAGGGTTGTTATTACAATGTGACGACATTAAAACCGTTAAATGGTTAAGGTTCGACCATTCATACAATTGCTACACCCCAAATATATACGAGCCCGTAAATTAGATTCTAATCGAACGAATTTGAAAATAGGAATGTATTTTTACCCCTATTGCATAATGTAATTAAGCTTTAAAATCGTTTTCGATTTCCTCGAAAATGAGGACTTGTCCAAGAATTTATATGAGAATCTGTCAACTGTCAAATGTGTTTGTTTACACTCTCTATGTGTCTATCGCTTTTTTGTTTTTAAAAATATTAAATGTGCGATTTATGTATTAAAAACTGACCGAAAACATTATTTTAGTGACTATTTATTAGAAAACAATCGAGTGCATTGACGTTATTTGATATTTTGTGTGAAAACATTTAAACAAACATTCAACATTTGGTGTGCAGATACATTGCATTGCACAATGGTGCATAAATGTGATAGAGACACTTGTGAACCGAAAAATGTGTCCGGACCGAAAGAAAAATGTGCCAAATGTGGAAATTTGTGTTTTTTGCGTTGTTTTGGCATTGACAAATGCGAAAATAAAAATGGAAAATTCGAAACGTTGCAAATAAAATTAGGTGAAAGTGCGGTTATGTATGCGATTTTGCCTTGCACTGTGTTTGTTTGTTGTGAACCGCTGTCAACGGATGAATTAAGCGCGAAACTCAATGTACCGGGTGGTCCGGAAAAAAAGTCAACATCGGTTACACCGGGTGGTAAGTTAAAATTGACACAAGTAACTACACCCAAGGTACGTCAATCGAAATTGACTGAAACATTTGCCGAAACAAAATCTGATGCTGGAAATTCGTCGATTTTATCCGAATTAGCAAAAATTAAAGGCATGATTTCGGAATTAAATGGCAAAGCAGCTGAAATACACGAGGATACACAATTTTTGGCGCATAAAACTATCGCCCGAACTGATTCGACACAAAAGAAAATTGTCCCGCGCAATATTTCACTGACACATGCCTCAAAATAATCGTTTGTTCATACCCCCGTCAAATCATTCGCTGACGCATTACGAAGTGGTGCACAGACTCAATCGGCCAAACGACCGCGCATTGATAACTCACCGAAAATTCCTCCGAAAGCTAAAACCACGAAATTTGAAGCCCCACCGCCAAAAGTGGGTACAAAATCAGCCACACATCGTCTGTAGTAAAGCCGAAACGAATTGAAAAACCGGTATTTAAAAAGGCAATTTGGATCTCTGGCTTCAAGCCAATGACCACATCTGAAGAAATCATCGAATACATTGTGAAAGAAACATCGGTAAACGAACAATCGAGATTCAATGTGCACAAACTGGTGAAAAAAGACAAAGATGTCACCACATTGAAGTTCGTTTCGTTCAAAATCGAATTAAATGAAGACGATTTTGACATTTTGATGAATCCGGAAGTGTGGGAAGAGGATGTGCTTGTGCGTGAGTTCTTGCAGAACAAAACTTTGGGTGAATTTTTCCCCCCATTAAATCCGAAAAACATCAGCAAGTCACCGGTACCAGATTCAATGGATTTGACCATATCACCGAGCATAGTCACCGAATAGTCGAACAATCAGGCCACATCGTACAAAACGAAGAACGAACATTGACACCGCATCGAAAACAAACAAAAAACTCGCCAAAAATAGTCTCGAAGCACACAAAACTGAATGTGTATATACAGAATACACATTCAATTCGGGACAAAGTAGATGAGGTACGATTAGCAACAAAATCGTGTCCATTTCATATAATTTCTTTTTTCGAAACGTGGCTTCAAAAGAACATTACTGACATTGAACATTTTGGCAAACGTTATAATGTGTATCGTGGTGATCGGACGGAACTCACAAGTGATAGAATTGATGGTGGAGGAGTGCTGATTGCTGTTGAATGCCAATTTAACAGTGAAAGGCTGATTCTATCGGAGCGCAGCGGACTTGAGCACGTATGTGTAAAAATTTCGTTCGATTCGTGCAATATTTATGTATTTGCTGTGTACATTCGGTCGGTACATGAAACCGCAAAATTCTTGGAATTTGCTGAGATCGTCAAGCTGATTCCATACAATGAACATGACATTGTAATTGTATGTGGTGATTTTAATCAGCCAGGTGTCAAATGGGTCAAAGCCGATGACGGTGAATATTATTTGCCAATTAATGTGTCGACAGAAGGTGGCATTGCTGTTTTTGACACAATGTTCGACTGTGGATTCCAACAACTGTCAAATATCGTGAATCCAGCCGGCAATGTTTTGGATCTTGTATTCACAAACAGGTTCTACGAAATGTCGTTGATTGAATCGACAAGGCCATTGGTAAAATCGGACATTTGGCACAAAGCACTCGAAATGGAAGTGACAATTGATGAAAATGAGATCACATCACCGCAGTTTTCACAAATTTATGCGTATAACTCGGCCGATTTCGATGCGATGAATTCATTCTTCGTTGGAAATCACATTTTGTCAGAAATTAATCGAATAGATGACCTCGAGAATGCATTTCACATTTTTGGAAATGTTCTACACGAGGCGATCGATTCATTTGTCCCGAGGATAACCGTTCAAAGTGGCACTGATCCACCATGGTACACGAAACAATTGAAGCACATGAAAAATGTCAGAAGAAAAGCATACAAGCAAGCAAGGCAGACTGGCAATTTCGACGAATACAATAACATCACGGATTCGTTCATCCAATTACAAAGTCGTATTTAAATCGTACATCAGCCGCATACAATCACAAATCAAATCAAATCCAAAACACTTTTGGCGATTTGTGAATGATCGAAGGAAACGGAGCGATATTCCAGCTATCGTTGAGTATAATGATGTGACAGCGAATACCGACACATCGAAAGCGGAATTATTCGCTGATTTTTTCGAAAATCAGTACACACGAAGCGACATTATCGACTTGGATGAATTGCTGGATGAATGTGGAGACGTATCATTTGACTTTGAAATCACTGAAGCCGATGTGTTAAAGGCATTGCAATCCATTGACGCGAACAAAGGAGCCGGTCCAGATGGAATATCACCGAAAGTGTTGAAGAACTGCGCACACTCATTGTCGAAACCGTTAACAGCGCTATTTAGTAGATCATTTCAACAAGGATGTGTTCCAGATGCATTGAAAAAGTCCAGAATTGTGCCAATTTACAAGGCTGGTAAAAAGAGCAATGCAGTGAATTACAGGCCAGTTGTGATCATACCAACAATAGCCAAATTATTCGAAATTGTTGTCTATGCCAAAATCGACACATTTGTTAATGCGCAAATCAGCCACAATCAACATGGATTCGTGAAAAATCGATCAACCTCAACAAATTTACTGCAAATGGTAAATTTCACGATGGACTCAATGGTCAATAAATGTCAAACGGATGTGCTGTACACAGATTTTGAGAAGGCCTTCGATCGTGTGAACCACAAGAAATTGTTGCAGAAGTTGGTGAGATTTGGATTCGGCCGCCAAATTGTCAAATGGTTCCATGGTTATTTGACATCACGATCGCAGTTTGTTGGAATTGGTGAAAAAAAGTCAAGGACTTTCATTGTACCATCGGGAGTACCCGCGGGAAGTATTTTGGGACCATGTCTCTTTATTATTTTCATAAACGATATTGTCGAAACTGTGTCAAATGCACTTGTTTTATTATTTGCAGATGATCTGAAATTGATCCGCACTATTCATTCGCCCATTGATGCCATCATTTTTCGAAAAGCCATTGATCAATTGAGCGACTGGTGTAACGAAAACAACCTGCATTTGAATCTGAAGAAGTGCTACGTAATGACGTATGCAAAGGGTGCAAACGTAGTCAACTACGACTATACGATCGACAACGGTCATCATACGTTTGAACGGACCAAAATGCAAAAGGATCTCGGCGTTATTTTCGACACAAAACTAACATTCACTGATCACATCGATGCGATTGCAGCCAGTGCACATGCGGCAATGGGTTTCATCAAACGAACATTAAAGAATAAGTACACGATCGAATCTGCAAAAATATTATATTGTGCACTAGTTAGGTCAAAATTGGAATACGCGAGTATTGTATGGCTTCCATATCATCGTATCCACTCCGATAGAATAGAATCAATTCAAAAAGATTTTGTCATCTGGTCGTTACGATATGTATATCAGAGAGATGAGAATTATGTATTGCCACCGTATCAGTTTAGATGTGATGTTTTGAACATTCAACCGCTTTGGAGACGGCGTATAAATGCCACTATATTTTTAATTTATGACCTCCTTTTGGGTAAAATAGTATCTAGTTCGCTTCGAAATAAAATTGTATACACACGTCAGCAATATAACGTAAACCAAAGAAATTTAAGAAATACAGAACTAATTAGAGTTAGAACATTTACATCGGAATATGCACATAACCAGCCATTTTACGTAGCTTGTATGAATTTTAATTTAATAAGAGAAACGTTTTTAGAATCAGCATCGAGACAAATTTTTAGAAGTAATATTTTTAAATTGGAAAATATAATATTTGTTGAACGGTGAAAACTGTAATTTTTATAAAAATTGTATTGAAAATTAGAGATTAAAACAATGAACACAATCGATATCTGCTGCTCCGAAGTCGACAAGGCTGGTAGCTGGATATTCGATCGGGTATAGTGATTCATTGTGAATGGTATTGTACAAAATGTTGTGATAAATACAGTCTGTGATCAGACGGTGAATAAATAAATAAATA